AAATGATTTATGTAATCAGAGGCAGTGGAAGAATTCAAATAGTTGGCCTTAATGGACAAATAGCTTTAAATAGCAAAATGGAAGCAGGTCAGCTACTTGTCGTGCCAAAATTCTTTGTTGCAGTGCAAATAGCAGATGCACAAGGCATGGAATGTTTCTCCGTAGTCACTTCTTCACGGTAAGTTCTTGAGTATTCATATATTTAATTACCTAATTTCACAAATGGAAGTGTTCACTCTTTTATCCCGTCGGAAGATTTTTCACTTCAGTTCATATATTGAGAATTTTGTACTTCCATTGCATGTTTAATACAATGGAATCCCGTTTGACATGACTTTTGTAATTGTTTTCTATAAAAGAGTATTTGGGAATAGCTTCTTTTATTTTTATTTGAAAACTAAATTTTAAAAGAGCTTATTATTTCGAAAGTGCTTTTAGAAGAAGTCATGTTGGACTCAAACGGATTCTAAAATAACTTTTGAAATCATGTCAAACATGCTCATAGTCTAATATACCAAAAGCTTCAAAGTCAATCGACCATTTTCTCATTGTTTTTCATATTATGTTTTGAATGCAGGCCAATATTTGGGAAGTTAGCTGGCAATGCATCAGTGTGGAAAACTTTACCTTCATCTCTTGTACAAGCCTCACTCAATGTATCTCCTCAATTGGTCAAACTTTTAAAGTTAAAGAATTGAAGAAGGCACAATCACAAGTTCTTAGTGAGCTATTGAAATAAAGTGATAGGTTGTCATGGTACTACTACCTAGCTCTAGTTAATATATTAAGAAATAGTACTAATAAAAGTTTGGGAAATACTCTTTCTTCAAATTTAATGTTCCTATGTAATGGCCTGAAGTCTTCTATGCACTTAGTATTTTAATGAAAATTCTAAAATTCGTATAATTCAATAAGCTCAAAATAATGTGGGTGCACAGTGAAACCTGGATATAAACTCTTGCTTAATGAAAGAATGCAAAATGTGGGATCAAACGGCTGTGGAAAGTATAAGTTTCGCCTAAAATTCATATCTTCGTTTGGCGCGTATTTCACAATGCATTGTCTTTCAAATTTGGTCCATCCAATGGTCGAGAACGATAAAATACAATGTTCTAAGCAGCGTAATATGTGACGAAACATGGAAGCTAAGCTTCGGGCTGGACAAGCCTAAGTGAGGCTTAGACATAAAGAAAAAGGGTAAAAAAAAAAAAAAGTATTCTTATTTTAATATTATTTAAAAATTTTAATCAATCTAAAAAT